CCCAGCCTGTAAGAATCACTTCCTGTTAGCACCTGGAACGACCCCAAATACGAATGCTGCATCTAAACGTACTGAATTTAATGAAGAAATCACTTCTTGATCATCGATGAAGTGGGGAATTGGTACTAGTACAGCTTATACACTGACCAATCAGAATCAAGATTTATATTTATTCTAGAGGACTGTATAATAAATTCAGCTGTATAAAAAAATCAGGTCATACTTTTTTGTTGTTGAAAAATGAATACTCATTTATTCAAGGATGCATTCAATTTACTAAAAGTAACAGTAAAGACATCTATAAAGTTACAAAAGATTCTGTTTGTTCTTTTAAACTTGATATTCATTCAGAAAAAAAAGCACAAAAACTATTAAGCATGGGTGTGCCTCACACGTCCCGAAAAGTGAAGCTTTTTGATCGCCCCCCCTGGTGGCTGGCTGCAGTACAGGTCATAAACCCCGCCCTCTCCATGTAAACGAATGGGACTCGAGTCAATTAAAAAAAATAAATTACACTTCCAATACAATTTTCCGAAAGATGGTTTTGGTCATTTAAGGTAGCTGTTATCACGCTGATATATGTTCAATTGTTAGTTTTTGTGCTAAGTTTGATTTTAGCTAGAAATTTGATGCTGTAAAAACGGGGAGTTTGATACCACGGCTCCACCTCACGACACTACTGCGCAGACTCCGTCTCCAAACGAATCTCTACTGCACAGACTCGGGCTCCAAATTACGTCATTTACTCAAGATGGCAGCGGCCATTCTGAGATGCTTTGGCTTCACTTTTCTATAGTGGAAGGAAGTGGAGAGACGCGTCATCCATCTTTTTTTACAGTCTATGATTAAGCAGCACAACCGTTTAAAACATTAGGAAATGTTTCATAAGCATCAAATCAGAATGATTTCTGAAGGACAGTGTGACACTAAAGACTGGAGTAATGGCAGCTGAAAATTCAGCATATATTTTTCAGAGCCACAGAAAACAAACCATTTCAAGAGAGAATAATTTCCTAACAACCTGTATGACTGTGAGAAATCAAGATCTTAAACCTTGACTCGTTCCTTCCATCGCTGTGTCCATTTCTGAACACAGCCTGCATTGAGCTCTGGCACTGGACTCAGCTGCCACTGACTTATCAAAGACAGCTCTAAAAACACCCACAGGGTCACCTCTGAAGATCACAAGCACGCTGCAAACCTGTCTTTCTCTCGTCAGCCTGACACACACACTCGAACGGTGTGGGGAGAGGGAGGGAGAGCAGTTGTCTTGTGCGGGGAACAGAAAGGGTGACGAGGGAGAGGGTGTTGGTTTTCCTTTGCCATGACAACAGCTGCAAACACACACGATCCATTCGAGTTATGAGCGTTTGTGCACAGCTGTCATGCGAACTCTTACAAGACGACAACTGAGAGAGCATTCCCACATTTCACCTCCAAACCTCCAAACGCCATCTCTCTTTCATCCAGCAGAAAAGTGTGAAGACTATTATTTACGCATTGAACACTCCACAATAATAACAGCATAGGCGTAGCTTGACGTTTGAGTTTGGGGGGGCCAAACCGAACCGGTGGATTTGGTCAGACGTACTTTTAAACACTTTTTAAGTTTTGCTATAGTAAATCTACATATTCACATACAGCAGTGGCAAGTGCGTGAGGTTCTCATGGTAACCACATACATTGCCCACGAATTACAGCTGCGATTCTATTTTGCCACACTAAACTTGGCAATAAACACGATTAAAATGCACAATAAATATATCGGTCAAAACGATCTCAAAGGAGGCTTTTATTAAGCAAATCAAGGAGTGAATTACTCATCCACTGTTTTTAATTTGTTGGGCTTGATTCAAGTTAATGCACAATGAGGCGCACACTTTTTATTTAGTCTTACTGAATAGACGATAAACAGTTTATATTCTAAAATCTATTTAAAGGTTGTGTTCTGTGAAAATTAAATAACATTAGGATGTAAATGGTCGGCATAAAAGTAGTGTGCGGCTAAACCGGCTGCGTCCTGTGGATCCCCTTTATCTGATTGTCCAGGTCCGGAATCATTAAGCACGGCATTAATATCTTCATCAGAGTTTTTCCATTGTCTCCAGATTTCTCTGCAGTTCGTGTATGTTGTTAAAAACGCAGAGCATCATTTTATTCCACACAACAGGCAAGCATTACAGTTAAGTCTATTATCCACCAAAATGCAGATTCGTCATGTGACAATTCTAACGCAAATGAGATTGAGGGAGACGTTAAGTTTGTTTTGATTTATTAATTTACTTACAATAACAATTTAAAATGTATTAACTTTTACATATTCACTTTTACATGTAGTATTAACTGCATTATATGCAATTTTACTTCATAGAAAAAACTTTATAAATAAATATTTAGTAAAACTCTTAAATCGCTATGGGGGAGCCAGGCCCCCTGGCCCCCCCACAAGCTACGCCCATGAATAACATTCATGCTTACTGAAATACCTAAAATACTATCATCCGTCTAACCTTCTCAGCTCAATCTCTGCTAATGCATTTTTCAAATGATCTGGATTCTTTCTCTCTGATCTTAGATCAGTGCAATACACAGAAAAGATGGAGCGCACGTCCTTTCTAAAACTCGTGACAGACCAACACATCAACCAATTTGTGATTATTCACATCAATAACGTTCTCCGCCAGCTTTGCAGATTAATATTGCACATTTTCCATCCTCAAACACGTTTTTGGATTTTAATAAATATTATTCATTAAATATACATGTTTAAAATGGCATTATATCACCCTGCTGTCTAGACATCAGTATCAGGCATAAAAAAAAACATATCAATCTGATGTAAAGCAGAGGTCAGGAGAGATAGCAGATGCTGTGTGTAGCTGTACAAATTTCCCTCCCTACGCATTAAGTCTCAGTATTTACCGTTACAAATACACAACTGGCACCACATCACCCTGAGCTGCTCATTTGCATTGCCAAATCAGTATGCAAATTCAGCTGAGCGCAGCAGAGATTTTACACCTAGTCCAATCCATGTGCGTGTTCAAAGAAATGTGTGTCAGAGGGGAAAAAAAGAAAAAAAGGTAAGGATGAAGTTGTCCTTGCGGTTTCAGCTCATTTTTGAGTGGATTGAGGAGAACAGATTACAGCAAGAGAAGAGCAAAGTTCAGGTAAACAGAGCAGAATGAGTCCAGATACACAAACATGAGGCTGTATCACTGCAGGAGGAACTAACACCTCACTGTTTGGTGTCAGAGCACACAGCTTCATGAGAATTCTCACACAGAGACACTAAAGGACCAAGAAGAAGACTTCTTAAGGAAACACATCTGTGCCATTTACGTATATAAGAGAAGAAAAAGCCCTACTGTAGATGTAAGAACTTCAATAGTTTGGTAGCTCATCAGTGTCTACATACTAAAACTAAGATTAAAGAAATAGTTCTTGCAAATTTTTTTTAATTCTAACATTTTCTTACCCTCATGCCATTCCAAAGCTATTCTAGACTTGCTTTCGTGAAACACAAAAGAGCATAATTTGAAAAATGTGTTTTATTTTCATTGTTCAAAAAATATTCTCTGTTGAATAAATGGCAGAATTTTCATTTTTGCAAGAACTATCCCTTTATAACGTGCTTTCTCCTATAATAAAACAAAACTAACAAACAAAAATTTAACTCCATATTGAACAAAGAAAAAAAACAAGTCCAGCCGTTTACTTGGCAGAAGTTCAGTTGTGCGTCTGGAAAAGTCAAAACCAAACCCCTCAAAAAACCCAATCTAAAGTGTGGTTTCTGGGGTTGTGTGTCAGAATGTGGAGCTGTGATCAGTCAAACCAAACTCGTTTATCCGGTGACTCACAGGGTGATTTAGCAACGCGTTGAGAGAATACAAGCGCAAACAAAGCTGATATTGGTTAACATTGCGGCAGATTTTGCGGCTGCTCGTCCCTCTTTGTTACAAGACAAACAGAGCCGCGTGTTTGCAAGTCAATAGCACGAGCTTTCTTGCACTTCATGAAATTAATAAATACTGTGTATTTGTGTGTGAGGGGGAATTCGAGCCTCTCCGTATCGGAACAGAGGGAGATTAGAGCCTGACTATAAACTACGTGCATTTCAGACAAACAGCGCGTGTAAATAAACGCACAACATGCGTGAAGAGAAATGAGTGACGGTGCAGATACACAAGCTGCATTGAGAGAAACCTGCTGCATTTCACAGCCACGGACACTCTTTCTCCTTCACAGATTGCATGGTAAAAATTTAGCGTTATACGTTAAAGATGTGCGGAATAAAAATAACGTTAGTTTATGTTGTACTATTGACACAGACGTGTATAGCTAAGTGCGTCTCTCTCTCACTCTCCATAGGGCGCATTCATGCAAAACTCAACTGAATGCCTCAGGAGGAAAAAAATCTTAATCTGCAAACAAACAGCTAATTGTTCTGATTAAATCCCTTGTGCGGAGTACAGATATGAATATTTTGTATACCCGAGTACATAACCATATAATAAAGCATTTTCAATCGAAAAATAAACGCAAAGTTTCTTGTGTGCAGCTACTAACTTTGGCTAACGTCACTCACACCCAAAAACAAGTTAGGAACCGTTGAAACGACTAGTAATATGTGATTTACAACACGAAATAAACATTTAGGGAAAGCAGTAAACTCTTGAAAGGTCTTTTATTTGCTGCTAAAGAAGTGAAAGTTAGTAAATATGACGACGGGTAAAAGTTGTTGATTTAGCAGACTGCTAACAGCGCTAACGTTAGCGACCCTCAGACACGAACTAACGGGGGGAAACACTTTTGAAAATTGGTTAAATACCGTCCAAAAGGGGTTAAACGTTTAGAACCAGACCCAAAAACGCAAGTCTACTTTAAAACTGAAACCATAACCGTTGTTTAGAGTCTCTTTTGCTGAAGACAGATAGTTTGTGAAGTTGTGAAACACCACATAACTTACACACTCGCGGTTCGGGTTTACACACACGTACCTTCGTCCAAGAGTCTCTCCAGGTGTGTGAAGATGCCGCACAGGTTCGGTAAACTAGTCATGAGCTTCTTCTCGTTCAATAACTGCATGAGATAGTCGGGACTCGGCCTCGGTCTCTCCTTCACCTCCATCTCCCCGACCATCATCTTTGCACGCAAACGCTCACAATCCTTCCCCCAGAAAAGAAATAAAGAAAGCACAAAAGAAAAAAATAACGGTGCAGATCAAATCCCTCGTTCCCCCTCCAGGCTGCGGCGACCCTCTCCGGATATAAGCGCTGATTTTAAGGTGCAGGCTCTCTCTTTCTTTCTCTTTCTCTCCCTTCGCTAGAGTCGCGCGATGTGAACTGGCTGGGTTCTCTTCGTTGTACTGAGCTCGCGCTACCGCTCAGGACTGAGGAACCTCCGAGAGCGCCAGACCCGCCTCGCGCGCATTGGCTGCATGCGCGACGCGGACGCGCCGAGTGGCCAATCAGCGCATAGCTCTGGAGAGGCGGGGCTAGTGTTTTAACCACATGAATCAGCGCCTGAGATGATGGACAGAGATCAGAGCCAATAGAATGCAGGCTCGTGAATGCTAAGAATCACCGGCGGGGATGATACATTGTGAAACGCTGTGACAACATATCTGTGACAACAAGTGTTTGCCTTGTGTGTTTTCAAAGGGCTTGGCATTTCATGGTGTGTTGCTTTTTATAATTAAACCGTTTTATGTGTGTTTTTGATTTGCACAGTCGGTTTTGCCGTGTAATGTGATTCACTGTTTGAGACAAGAATATACTTCACGCAAGTATTCATCTGCAAACAAACAGCTCCAAAAATTCCAAAATGCGTCGGCTCGCAACTTCATTGCCGTATGTTTCTGGCCGTAGAATGTAAATGCAATTTTTAAAATATACAAATCTTGTTGGTGTTATTCAGTATACAACGATCCTATAAATATTAGGTCAATGGTTCTCAGCCTTTGTGACTGGGAAATATTCTCCTGTATTTAAGACAACGCTCACTTCAAACTTTTTTTTTTCATTAACATAAATTAGGAGTATTGGTATATTAAATTAATTAATCGTGATTAAATTTGTGATTCCAGACGTTTCAAGAACTGCATGTTCGTTAATAAATAAACAAATACTGAGTTAAAGGATTAGTTCTCTCAAAAATGAAGATTTGTCATTGTTTACTCACCTTTAGTTTAACACCACAGCTTCATGGTTTCTTCACTAGTTGTGGATTTATTTTATTATACTTTTATAGGGTTACTTTTATTTCACTAAGTATCAATCCAGTAGGAATGTCATGTGGTATGAAAATGAACCTTGAGAACTTTTTTAATAGCTTTGTTTTTTGACCGATCTTGAGAATTCAAGCTGTTCACATTGAAGAGAGAGAGAAATTAAAAATGAATATAACATCTCCAATCACAGTTTCACATTCATCAGTATGGAAGACACAAATGTGAACAGACGCTATATCAGCTTGGGACTTCATGCTCAGCTGACCTCCTCCAAATCCTATCCACATGGAAGATAACAGGACACAGGACACAGGACACATTCCTTCAACTAGAGACATCACACAATAATACCAAATATTTACAATCCAGAAGAGGAGATATGTTATGATACACACACAAAAGGTATTAGCTGTCACTGGGACAGAGCCCTGTAAAAAGGTACCAATATGCCAATATGTAGCATTTAGGTCCTAAATATACCTGTTAGTGGTAAATAAGGTACAAAGGTGTACCTTTTGAAAAGGTACCACTCCAGTGACTTTTTTTTCCAAAAATGTATTTTATGGTTCCAGAGTGATTGGCTCCCAATAATGGCCAGATGCACATGAGCAAAAATGCTGAATGCAAGTAGCATTTTTACATATATGGGAATGATCCAAGTGTTACAGACCTCATCATTTGTTCCATACAAATATATCCATATGATTCACCATGCATGCTCCTATTCACATGACTCATCATCCTTTCTTTAATCTAATTTTTCCGCTGCATCACCTTCTTAGTATAACAGAATGAAAAAATCACCAATTTCTGAAGGCAGCACAAAAGATTCAGCATTTATCTCGGTCTTAGATAAGAATTCTTTGCTCTTATCAACACTGCCACATATCTTTTCATTTTACTAGGCACCACATCTGAGACAGGCCACACGTGTCTGCGTGCTGCTTGTGTGTGTGTGTGTGTTTTGTAGTGTGAGATATTAATCCCCGCCCAAACCCTGTATTTTCCTCCTCTATTAATAACACGGGTTTCATTCTACAATTAATCCAATTAACGACACTTTAGATAAAAAGTGAATATGAAATCAGGTGGTTGTGAAGCAGCAGGGAGCAGAGACGGGAGGGAGATGGGGCTTCAGAGAGGGCATCAGTCACGATCCCGTGGTCAGCGCCAGCAGCTGATTAGAAAAGCAGTAGGTGGCATGACTGTGTCTGGAATATAACGTGAGCTCCCTCAATGCACAGACACTCTCGAGTTATTTTGTCTGAAGAAAGCTTGAAGGCTTTGAGTATGAAAATAATACAAAAGCATAAAACAAAAGCGATTATGTGTGGGTGCAGGAACACCAGAGAGTTAAATCTGGGTCAATTGTGAGACAGAGAGAGAGAGGAATCACACATTGTTAAGGTGAGGCGAAGAGTGGGACATTCTCAGAGTGTGTGCATGAGTGTCATTGAGTATTTATGGGAGTGAGTGTAAAAGCATGTATAAACATAACACATGCTGATGACTGTTAAATACACAAATTATTGTATGTGCCGGTCACATGTTGGGTGTTGTTTGTTGAACTGGGGCGCTGACAGCACTGATGGATCCTGTTCTCTCCACCCAGTCCAGCGCAGTGCAGTATAATCTCACCGTGGGCCACCACGTCATTTATGGCTCCCCAGGGGTCTGCAGTGAAGATTACAGCAAACACACAGTCCTTCATCACTCACTCGGGGTCCATGGCCTTTATGCCACACGTGCCGACACACAGTTTCTCCAAGACAATACTTGAGTCAATGACACATAAGAATGTTCATGGTAAAGACAAAAAAACTAAAACTCAAATCAAAATGTATTCAGACACCTTCAACATTTCTCACATTATCACAGTTTATTCGCTATAGTTTAGAAATTGGTAATAAAATATGACAAGAACTCAGAGTTAAACTGTGTCAGAACAAATTCATCTTGATAATGTCATGCAGATAACTTTGATAGAAAGGTATGTAATGAATTAGGTTGAATAGTTGTCAGCTGTTAAATTTAAGTACACAATTAGATAATACCAATTTAGGTCAACCAATTACCAAGCAATGCTTAATTTTGTTCAGTCTGTGGTGTAAAAAGGTTGCATTAAAACGCTTAAGAAAAACATGGTCAGGTCAAAGTGTCTGAATAATTTTTGGTGCCAAATTTTTATAAATTTTACTGGTAGTCCACTGTATGAAGAATTTTTGGATATAATATGTCACAGTTTATTTTATTTTGCTATCCTCACTTACATAAATGAACTATAGTGTCCTGAACCCACTAGTAAAATAAAAAATAATATCTGGTGTCTGAATAATTTTTGGTTTGACTTCCTATTCATGTTTGTTCCATTTAATTTTGAAAAACGTTTCAATTTAATAGCTCTTGAAGAATTTTTAACAAAAGGTTTAAAATATTTATTTTTCAAGGTAAATTGTTTCGTTTTTTATTTAAAGTTAATTTGGTGTAATCTCGACCATTTAATATATTATTTATTCATAAATAATGTTTAAAACACTCTCAGGGGAATTCACAACTATTTTACATTTTGGCAAATTGGTTTGAAAATGTATTAATACGTGCTTATGCTCCACTGAGGGCTAGGTTTAGGGGTGGACATTCATGCTTGCTTGCTTGTTTTCATTATATTATGTTTAAATTATTTGAATTCATTATTACATGAAATAATATTTCATCCTTTTAATGAGGCTTTTTTTAAAGATTATATCAGTATAGTATTTATTTATACAAAAAATAAATAAGTAAAAGCACTAGAACATGATACATCAACATTTATTTTGATGCAGAATTGATATTTGTGATTAATCAAAGTAATCAAAATGGAATGCAATTCAAAGGACTGCACAGAACTGCTGTACATGCAGGTTTTAAAAATACATTTTAAATTTCCAGGTGAATGTGTGTTTATATGTGTGTGATTGGTTCTCATGGTGGTCCAAAGGATAAGGACAGTGCTTGTTTGTGTGTGTGCAGAGCAACGGCAGATGTGTTTGCGTCTGATAAGAGCATCTGGCTGAGGTAGAGGAGGAGCGAGGATCAGACAGCAGAACCCCGTCGATCCGGAGCTAGAGAGAGGAAGATCTCTCCAGTCTCCTGCCGAAAAACCATCGGCCTCCTGTGAGCCTTCTTCAAAACACACCATGCGCTCACACGCTACACACCAGCACCACTTTAAAGAAACTCAAACAGTCCGATATGAGAAAAGACTGCTCAACGAAACAGCTCAATTCTGCTGCTTGGAGAAAGACAAAATGTTACGGAAGTTCAGAATTGCAAAGATGCACTGATGCCAAGTTGAAAAAGCATTCACGACCCATTTTACTGCAATAATCTGGTGTATTTATTACAGAATCTGGATTTGGAAAGATTAAAAATAGGGCGGGACTTGATTTGGTCCACAAGGGAAATGATTGGATGGTGAAAAGTGGCGGGGTTGTTACATTTTGTAACATGTTTTTGTTTTCTTCACCACATCTCTGAGGCCTATAGGAGTCCAAATCAATGACGTTTTTGAGTCAAATTTTGGACTAAAGATCAGAGCTCCAGTCCGTTCCGTGGAGTGGTAGTCTGGGGTTGAGAGGTGTGGGGGACACCTGAAGCATGAAGTCACTACGAAATAAATCTCCATTGAGCTCAGGGCTTTGCACATGCTCACTGGCTGGCATTGGGTTTCGTGCGGCCCCTGGCAGATGCGCCGAACAAGAAGAATAGATCCCATAGGGCTATTTATTCCTGCTGCTCCCTTCGCTTTCCCTCCCTCCCTCCCCTCTGCACTGTTGCTCCTAAGAATCTGGCATTCTTACACTCTAATGTTTTCCCTTCCCTCTGCTCTCGCATCAACATCTCCATCCTTGTTTTATACCGATATCATTCATCGATTCACCTGAGAGGCAATTAGTTCCGAGCCAAATCAGGCAAATGAAAGGAACAGTTGATCCAAAAAATTTTCCCTCATGCTGTTCCAAACCTTTCTTCTTTAAAACAAATATGTCTCACTGTATTCTGTCTGCTCAAGGAAAGTTGTATTGGACCCCACTGACTTTCATTGTAGGGGCAAAAAAAAGAGTTAAAATATCTTCTTTTATGTTCCACAGAAGATAGAAAGTCTTACAGGTTTGAAA